AGACCATCCACTGCTGCAAACCAACCCCATGTCCTCCCCAGTGAACCAGTGAGGCCGAACTGGGAGCACTGGGATGGGGACAGGGCTGCAGGGCCTATCCCTGTCACAGACATGTTTTATGAAGAATCTTTTCTTTAGGATTTTTCCTCCTGAGAAGCTGAGAGGCCTCAGGAACAAAATATAAGCAATGATTATCTGCTGCTGTGGAATGCAATGGGTGGATCTGTGATGGGCCTATGTTGGCTGTTACTAATTAATGGCCAATCACAGTCCACCTGGCTCACACTCTCTGTCCAAGCCACAAACCTTTGTTATCATTCTTTCTATTCTATTCTTAGCCAGCCTTCTGATGAAATCCTTTCTTCTATTCTTTTAGTATAGTTTTAATATAATGTATATAATAAAACAATAAATCAGCCTTCTGAAACATGGAGTCAGATCCTTGTCTCTTCCCTCATGCTGAGACCCCTGTGAACACGGTCACACATCCCTAGGACTGGGTGTCCATCCAGGGGTCACACTGTGACCCTGCCAGCACCTGCATCATCCCCAAGATGGGACCAAGGACTGCCCCCCAAAATGCCTGCCCTGAAAGGGACCCCCACAGCAGCAGGAGGAGCGAGTGGCACATCCAGGAGGGGCTGCAGGGCTGTCCCACCCCAGCCCCGGTGTCCCCAGACCTTGAGGGTCTCCATCCAGCGCTGGTGCCGCTGCTGGTAGTAGACAACAGAGCGGTAGAGGCTGCTGGGGCTGTCCCCTGCTCCCGCGTGGATCACGTTCTGCAGGAGGAGACACCTCGGGATCAGCTCAATGACCTCGCAGGGAGGGGACAATCCCTGTCCCAAACCCCCTGCCCACACCCCCCTAAAGTGCCTGGTGCCACCTCCGAGGGGACACACGGCCCTCCCAGGGCACATCGGGGCATGGCCCTGGGGATGGGCATGGAGAATTGCAGCCCGTCCCTCAGGAGCCAGGTGAGAACTGGGGACAGAACACCTGGAGAGTGACAAGAGCCACCCTGGGGAGGTGACACCTGGGTCTGACCCCCTCTGCCTGCCCCCAGCTCCTTCCTGTCCTGGGGATCTGGCCAGGGGGTCTGGCTGTCCCCAAGGCAGGACAATTTTATCTCTGTCCCAATTCCTTATTGTCACTTTCCCATTTCTTTATTCCATTCCCAGATCTCAATTTTGGGCAGCTCCAGTGGCCCAAGAGGCTCCTCCAGCCTGGAGGAGCTGCTGGCTCTACCCGAGGTGAGGTGACACAGGGGACATCTGCCATAGTCAAGGTGACACAGAGGACACCTGCCATACCTGAGGTGACACAGGGGACACCTGCCATACCCGAGGTGACACAAGGGACACCTGCCATACTCAATGTGACACAAGGAACACCCACCATACCCGAGGGGACACAGGGGACACCTGCCATACTCAATGTGACACAGGGGACAGCAGCCATACCTGCACCACGTTTCCTGCCTCGTCACACACACACACTGTCACCTCCACGTTCTTCTGCGTCTTCTTGCTGCCCTTGTCGAACTCGCCCTGCACCAGGGTCAGGTAGATGTCGTTCCTGACATCACCTGTGGGGACAGCCCCATCAGCCAGGCCCTGCCACCACGCTGCCACCCCCAGGGACGCCCAGGATTGTCCCCAGCATGCTTGCCTGGCATTATGACCTCCGGGTAGCCCAGCTTGCGAGCCACGGCTGTGCTGCGGTCCACCAGGTGCGGGTGGTCCTTCCTCACCTGGCTCAGGTCACCCCAAAGCACCTTCAGGGACACCCAGAGCCCTGCAGGGACCACAGGGATTTTTAAAGGGGTGACAGGGTGACACACAAGTCCTCAGCCCCTCATGTGACAAGCAGATGGCCCAGGGGACACAGGCTCTCTACCTTGTCCCTTGTGGTTGATGTCCTTGCCCTCCACCGCCTTCCGGATCATGGTGTGAAGGAAATCGCCATCAGCTGCCACCCTGGGAAAGGCACATTTGGGGGAAAA